GAATTTATCTGTTTATTTAATTGATTATGAATCAGCTATACATGCTTTGATTAGTTGATGAGCTGAATGAATGAGTGAATTGAAAGGTTGAAAGTCAATTATCAACTGATTATTACTGTATTGTGCGAGGTCAGGGTCATGATTATGTAATGAGGTCAAGTGGCGCACTTAGCGAGGTCAAGTTTTCTGTACACACGTACGCGGGCGTTGGGTGGTTGATTAACTACGTTACTAATCGAAGTTGAGCAAACAAATCAAACTATTCCCTGCTCTCTTCTCTCTTAAGGCTCAACCTTTCCCCGCAAAACCTCGAATTTTGAAGGGGACAAAGCAAACTTGAAGATTGAAACACAACATCTCATGCATGGATTTTACTGACATTGACCCCTCTGAGATAACATTTAAGCGAAAACTTTTCAGCTCAGAATTCTCAGAAATATTCCTTGTTCATATTCATAACAAGATATGTGTAATGAAAGTGGTCTGTGTATCCTTAGGCTTTTCAAAACAACAGTTCATTCTAACATTTGAAACAGCATCATGACAATGGGCCAGTCCAGCCCGCACCTCCTGAGCGCGAAACAAACCTTCACATCTGTGAATCAACTGCCTACAGACAACTAATGAAGCACAGCCTTTGCAACCGCGGAATTGTGCCTCAGTTCTATGAGACAATGAAACAGATGGACTTATCACACTATCAACCTCATCTGAAGATGTTTCTTAATGACAAGAATCCTCCTAGTGCCATCCTCTTGAAGTATATTCCAAAAATGAAGATGATCTATCCTCACAATTTTACAAAGGAGTGGGGAGAGGCTTTGATCTGTGGCATCCAAGAGATTCACAGAGCATTGATTCTGCATTGCGACGTCAAACCAAGGAACATGATGATTGTCAGGAATGACCCTGAAAGAGTGGTCTGATTGGACTTTGACAGAGCTCAGACCTATCACGCAGATAGCCTTACTGAGAGACAACAAGGATTTATTGAGGATGAAGAGCTAATGATGTCTCAACTTGCAGATTCACTAGTGAGTGTCTACTGTTTACAGCAACTTAGGTCATAGTCAAACACTAACCAGGACCATAACTTTCTTCTTACAGGAAGCTGATCATGCACGAGGCGAGATTGCTGAGACTTATCTCTACTATTGCACCTAGCCAATTTTCTCTGCATTGGGATAGGAATGCACTTGCGGAGATGGTGTGATAACCTTTCAGTACTGCAGTGTGAGGAATAGCATTCAATGATTGATGGAAATATTGGTAGATCATTGAAGGGGCCATAGTTTTTAAAAGTCCAAACCATGAACATAGGGTCTGGTGGCTCAGGATGGCGACTCTGTAATTTTATTTTTTTTTTTTAAAAAAAAAAAAAAAAAAAAACTTGGGCCTCGTTCCTATCAATATTTTCAACAATTTTGTGGCAGATTGTCTCCGTCGACATCGCTAAACATTGCCCTGGTGTGGCTGTTATCGTTTTCATCTTTGACTTGGCATCCAAACTCCGGGATGTGCTATAGAATCTGGTGAGGAGGGAAATTCGTTTGGGGACAGCATTCTGTGAGGATGCTGGGTATTTCCACTGCATCCGCTTGCATCACCCATACAAATGACCCGAATTCCCGCCCAAACACCCAAGTAGCCCGAAGGTTTTTTTGCGATTACCGGTCTCAGAGGGTCCATAACGTCCATTAAAAAGCTCCTGAAAACCAATATACCTTTGGACTGCGGCCACCTCTAGATATTTATTAGTGTTCAAACTTATTCCCATCTTTTTTCATGAAATATTTGCTGGGGCTTATATATCCTTGTGATCATCTAGCGATTTAGTAAGCTGTCTAAGTGGAGTGGACATTCTATTCAATTAGAGCTCAACTATCATCGCCTCAATGTAGGATCATATAACTTTTTTGGGCCTTGCGGCATTCCAACAATCTCATAAGTACACCCCGTATGACTTTCCAGAAAATCAATTTCTTCGTCAAAGATGCTATATTAAAAGACAAAACAAAGAGCAATTCATGCTATCAATACGCAGAATCTTTACTAGTTTACAGCATCTGAGTTATCCTGTGCTTGCTGAAGTGTTCCAATCATGTTCTGGGATAGGTTGAAATTTTGTTTCTTCCACCGTCCGCCGTCTAGAAAGAAAAGGCGCCGTAATCGGTTGACGCAAGGGATCAATGAGTCTTCGTAGTGGTCTTATTGTCGCTATCTGGAGCAGACCCCGCACGTCGCTTCCGGCCTGAACTGCTTGTGCTCATTGATTGATAAAAAGGGGTACGAGGATCTGGGAACTGAGCTGATGTGTCAGCATGAGTGCCAGCATGCTGCTAAAATTACATACATTCCTAAGATCAGACAAGTCAGGCCCGCCCCGCCTGGAGAGCTTTTTTATCTCCTTAAGGCTTTCAGGCTTGCAGCCGCTCAAGGGGTTGAGAGCAGCTAACTAGGTGGTTGATTAACTAACTTACATTAAAATCCCACACAGGAGTTTCAAACCACATTTGGTTCATGTTTGGCGTGTGGTCAGTGTTGGGGTCAAAATGCTTGTATGATCGAGGGCTGTTTGATGGATCTATCAGCGGTTTCTTATTCGAAAAATTGAGCGAGTTTGTGGTGGAGTGGTTGATCTGTGAGATGGATGTTGCTTGAACTTTTTTGTATCTTCTATTTTTATTGTATCTTCTATTTTTAACACTTTCTCAATCTTCTACTGTTATTTATTTAACTACAGCAGTACTAATTTTTCTCTCTCTTTCTTTTTCTCTCTCTTTCTTTTTCTCTCTCTTCTTATCTTAGTTTCAAATCATTCTCAAAATCTCTTCTGATCTCACTGCTACTGTATGAGACTTTTCACTGTTTTTTTTTTCAATCTCTCATATGATATGTGGTGTTATGTCGGGAAAATAAGAGGTCATACATGTAGCAGCGGCCGCCTTGGTGGCGTTGCCCTAGCGATCGCTCCGCCTGCATGTGATCTCTTATGTTATATAACATAGCTAGCTGCTTCCATAATAATAGAAGAATCAATCTTTCTCACTTACAGATTATAGCCCAGGACATTCATGATTTTTCTTTTAATAAGATCTCTTATACACATCTTTATAGAAGAATTACACTGTAGTCAATTGTCTGCAGATTGATTCACTTTTCTATGTTGATTTGAATAGAAGATACTCTCATTATTCAGAATAAGTATGCTTCAATAAGTAGATGTGTCTAGAGATTAAGAGATTGCATTCTTTCTTTGAGTTGATAACTGAATGAGATTGATCTTATCTGAATCACTTTTCTTATATCTATATTCAGATTATGATGACTGATAAGTAGCTTGTCTACTTCTCAGAGTAATAGAAAGAAGACTCTACACTCTCATTCTTATACTCAGACAGCTCAACAGGCCTCTATTAATAAAGAATCAGATGAAGATGATATTACTCAGTATATAGCAGTTATAGAGAAAGTCATGAAGTTATCTACTAGTTAAGATACAGACACTTATCATGAATCTGATGATGAAATCTCAAGCTTAAGATCTATGTATACAGTACTCACAGAAGTGCATTCTATCAGCAGTTTTATGTCTAGAATGAGTCAAGATAATATAATATTCATATTATTCAATAATCTTATAATATTCTGTGATAGAATGAGCATGTATTAAGAGATCATCTCTGCTGTGAACAATTTCAAATCTCAGATTCATGAATATCAAAAGAATGTTCAAAAAGTCATAAATACTAAGACTGTAATCACATTTGATGATATCAATTATCAGATCTGATGTACAGAAATTCTTACAGACACTGAAGTTGTCAGTGAATCTGATATTCTTATGAAGAATTAATATATCTGTTCAGAAGACATCAGTCAAGATATATTAAGTGCTGAAAAATAAAGCATTTATATCAAAGCACTGTATCAATGTATATTACAGTTCTTACTAGAATCTGTACATACAATTATTGAAACTCTTGAGTCAGATAATATAGCTGTGTTATAAAAAAGAATTGAAGTTGAGTACACTATCTTACTTGCAGAAGAATGTATAAATATTATAAAAGAATTAATTATCTTACATGTTAAGAAAAGTGATTATCTAGCATTTCAGAGAAGATTCTATTATTTGATTGTATATTATAAGAAGTTAGTAAATGACTTAGAAGACTTCTATTATAATCTCTTTCTTATTGATTTAAAAGATTATTAAAAGTCTTTTATTAAGATACATTTGAATAATTTCTACATGACTGATCAAGACTCTATTTATAATATTAATATTGAAGATCTCATGAAACAGTTGATAAATTGTATAAGTAAGTCTAAGAATGAACATCTTAAGCTGCAGTGAGTCAATACAGTTATTATGATCTCTACTACATTATTCACTGACAGCTTCAAGTGTGATATATACAGTACAAACTGATACTCAAAGAACACTTGCTGATATCTACACTCTAAACTTACTACTGAACAGTGATGTAAGTTAAACAAGAACTGTATCATTACATCTGAAGGAAATAATAGTAGTAATATCAGTGAACACAGCAAGTGAAGAAGTAAGAAGAAGAATAAGAATAAGAATGATAAAAAGAATGAATCTTTCAATCTTCTAGTCTCTCAATCTGCTGCAGTCAATGCTGTGATTGCTTTTTCAGTGACTATTAGCACTATATTCAAGCCTTGATTTCTTGATATGTATGCAAGCTTCAATATGACAGAGAAAAAGCAGTTTCTTATTCAATATAAGGCTTATATCAGTGATTTCAAGATTAACACTGCAGATGAAGATCATGATCATGTCAAGAAAATCAGTGATCTTCTCTTAGAATCTGAAGAGAGAAATATTATAATTCACAATGTTCACTGAATTCTCAATCTCATAGTCAATCTGTTATTGTTTATCAAGCTTGAAGATCAGAGCTTTTGATTTGAATTATTATTATTCATCTCATCTTACTTTCTCATGAGAGTCTTAAATAATGTTACTTTCACTGTGATTCACACATCTCAGAGCTTCATATATAAGATTATTGAAAGAATGTCAGAAGTTGACATTTATTATGAGTCAAGAACAGTATATTACACTGCAAAATGATATATATATATAAATGCTATAACTACTGCTGATGACAATAATTTCACTAATGATAATCAGACTCAATCTCTCACAATTGTTAAAACACTCACTGAATGATATACAGACTTGGATTATATACACACAGAAGTCATCATTGTGTTAATGAAGAATTCATTATCAGATGTCTGAATCAAGAGTCTCAAGACTGGTTTTTTTTATAACAGTTGTGTGAAAGAGAGTATGATATATTGTTTTTCTCAGATTCTCATGTCATGAGTGACTTAACTCATGCAATGTATTCATATTGATCTTGTGAGTGACAGATGCATATTAAATGAGATGTTTAATTACTCTGTCAAGTCATATCAGAGAACTAAATACTACATGTTGATTACAGATAACATGATGAGATATAGATGAGTCTATTTCATGCAAAGCAAAGATCAAGCTTATGACTATTATACTCATTGAGCTCAATTTACAAAGAATTTGAGGTTTACAGTGCCTGTGTATGTTAGAACTGACATTGATATAATATTCAGATCTGCAAAGATTACTGTGTTATTCAGTAATGACAGTACAATTTAGAAGCTAATAACTTCTCATTCTTCATATCAAGATAATGTTTCTGAATGTGAAATTCACATGATTATAGTGTGTATGAGAGTGATCATTATTGATAAGAACATCTCTAGAAAATTTTAAGCAGATGTATTAAACACTGTCATTATAATAACTAATAACACATCTATGTCTACTATACTATACAATGAGAAGTATTGATCTGCAGTTATGAAAGATAAGAAACCTATCTGCAGCTCTTATACAATCTCTTTTTCAGTTCTGATGAACACTCCGTCACAGATCTTATATTTTCATGAGCTTGAGTTAAATGTCTATGCTCATCTTCATGAATTGCAGAAGTCAGCAGATAAACTGTCTGCTCAGGCCAATCTATATAAACTTATTGAATTCTGTGAATGTATGATCTACCGCATGTGAAGTTCTATATCAGATAAGCTCATTGATATAAGTGATGTAATTTTCTCTGCAAAAGTGTAAGAAATGCCAAAGAATATGACTGTTACTATGACTGTGAAAGCTAATACTGACTCAATCACTGTCATCTATATGATGAAGAATTCTGATACTTCTGATTTTTCAAAATTATATATTCTATGAATACAGTCTGTAAAGGTCTTTATAACTTATATCTCTTCACTGATTACTGATGACTTATCAAAAAGCTTTAAGAATACAGTAGACTGATCAGAGAGTATAGAAGAATGATAAAGATATTTAATATAATATGAAATAACTAATTTAGAGAGATGAAAGATCTGAATACTTATACTATATTCTGATATTCCTGCTGATGAATCTGTGACTCTCAGTCAATAAGTATTCATAGAGAAGAATTACTCTGAGAATCTCAATACTGATGAAGATAGTATATTATGAAAGTTCAGATAAGTAGTCTACAGTAATTAACTTAAGAAAAGCTTAAGAGAGAAAATATATATCTCTGTTATAATAAATATAATAAATTACATAATATTTATTATTACAGTAAAACATGAATAAACTCTGTATCAAGTTAATATTATACTTATCTATCTATATGAACAGCTAGAGAAGACAGTTTATATATATCAACTCACTGATTTTGAAGCAGACACTTCATATACAATGATATATACTGTTGAGAGATCTCTATATGACTTAGACTCTGCAGTGAAAATCTGATATGATTATCTCATAACTCTGCTGCAGAAACATGAATTCACTCTTAATCTATATAACTCTGATCTCTGACAACATAACATATGAAAGAATCTGTATATAATAA